GAAAAGCCCCGGAGACCTGATTTCAGCGCTGCATCGTCGGCAGCGAGGGTGGTGGGTGACATTTCTGGTCTAGCAAAAGACAGTGGGGAAAGGGCTGTGCTAATGAGGAGGCACGAGTTTTTAATTCCTACCCTTGAGGAACAGAAGCTGCCTTTAAAGTAGTAACCATTTATATGCTCAAGGAATGCAATCCCACTTATTTTTTTAATATTATTATTACTGCATCACACGGGGATGCATACTATTAAAGAACCATTTGCCCAAACTGGAGGTTACGGTTGTGACTTTTTTAATCTACCCCGAAATGAAAAAAGAACAGCTAGTTACAGACCCCTCCATAACGTTAATCCTAGTGCCTGCGCGCAGACAGTGGGAAAGGAGATTGCCGTTGATCGCTCCTCTTTTAACTTCCCCGTAACACTGAGAGAAATGAAATCGTTTCGAACGCGGTAGTTCAAACCGTGAAATGAAACAACCCCTTTTAAAAATAAGAATTTTTGTTTAATGAGACGTTTAAGACATACGTCATTATAAAAATAGAGACTTTTTTACTTTTTATAAACAAACACAAGCACATTTTTCATACTTCCAACGTAAAACCTGGATTTTCCTTCTACCATGCAGCTTCATAATTTGAAAATCCAATAAATTTACTGACATAAGCAGTAAAATCCTTTTAAATATGTTTTAAACTTCAAAAATCTTCAGCTGCTTCTTCAACATGGTCCCAATACTGGGAGCTGATGAGCAAGATATGAAAATGTTCAGTACAGTGCAGGAGGTTCAAAGCTTAGATAAAATTAGGTACTTTTCTTGCATCAATCCTGTAATTTTGTAATAGTATCACTGTTTCCATTTCTGAAAGGTACTTTCAAGTACAAATTTAAAGTAGGGTTTTACAAAGTTTTCATAGTAGGATTAAAAGTCTGTTTGCCAGTCCTTAGTTCCAGACAGAATGGGAATAAGCCTGACAGAAATATAAATGTTCAACTTCCACGTGAACTAAATTCTGAATCTTTTCTGTAGTTGTAGAATAAATGCTATTCCAAGATATCCTTTTTCAACCTAAGGCCTCAGAAATAACATGTATTTAGTTACTCTTGAGGTAAGCCAGCATGTTTTCATGGAATAAAAGAAAAAATTTTGACTGCTGTCTGATTTCACTTGACTATAATTCAGACACCGTATTGCAAATTCTGGTTAAATATAGACCCCATAACCGTCAATCAGTCCACATACATAAAACATAATTATGGGATATGCAAACCTAGAAATGGAATTCCAAAAGCAAAGACTTCCACCTGAATTCAAGAAGAACCTCTACTAATTTTCTGTAAAGAGGTGGATGGATCTCCAGTGTGGATCAACAAGCGGAGGACAACAGGATTTTCTGGTTCTGAGCTTTGAATCAATTCCACTTTTCACAGATTATGCCATGCAATCACGAAGAGATAGTCCTTTACCTGAGGTCAATGGGGGTGAGCTGTCTGGATCTTCTCTAATGTTCACTGTAACGTAGAGAAAAATATTGTGCGTTTATGGTTAACCTTGACAGCCTCAGAAATGAGGGCAGAATCAATCAGGGAACCATATTAAAGCAGCCGTGACACAAAGATGTCAGACTTTAGAACCATCAATAAGAGGAATGTAACTGTCTGCTTCAAGATAAAAAACTTTTAATCTAGATTTCCTTTTCTAAAATAATATGTACAGCTATTGAAATAACAGAATAGTTGTAATCTAGTAGAGAAACTGTAAAAGATTTTGCTCCTCAATCTACTTAAGCTTGAATTGAAAAGTTTGGTCCAAGGATAAAAGGAAGCAAATCATAACAATAAAAATATCCAAAGGGCTAGTAGATATACATACATGAAGATAAGAAATTGAATGCAATAGTTTTAAAGTTAAAACCACACGAATAGCATATTAGCATTGGATGACTGATAATTTAATTCTAGTCTCTCAGAAGGGCTGGTTGCAGTCATGTTCTCAACAGGTGGCATATATGAACCCAAATTATCATCACAAGAAGTCTCAGCAGAAAAGTCAATGGCATAAAGTTAGAAAACAGTTTTTGTTCAAAGCTAACAAAGGCCTCTGAGGTATGATCAAGATGTATCACAGAAGAAAGGGAAGGGTAAGGCATTCAGTTTAAAAGAAAAGAAAGCATTAAAGAGTGGTAGCTTCTTATAAACTGCAAAGATTGTCTTTTGACTCTCAAGGCCAACAAAAAAAGAGATTTAAAATCTCAAAAAATCCCATGTCTATATTCGTCTGAGATTTCAAGTCTCTGTAGGATTGCTACATTTAACATAATGTTTATTTTAGAAGATCAGAGGTTGTTTGGTGAATTTTATCAGGCACTCAATACGTAATCTGTCATCTCCTTTAACTAGTTTTCATCCCCACATCTTGAATACCCAAAGGAAACTTCTTTTCTTCCGGAAGTAAGTCTTGAAGTAAATTGTCCTCGGTTTCCACTGAGATCTGAATTTCAGTTTCTTTTTTCAAGGGGTTTTCTTCTTTTGAAAGGGGAATTTCTTCCCCTGTTGGAGAATAATAGGGAGCATTTCCATAATCCATGCTAGTTGAACTAGTCTGTTCTGGGAACTGGGAACTGCAGTCCGAATTACATACTTTAACAATACAAGTCACATTCACCTGGGTTCCTCCATTACCAGAGTGTTCTATCAAATAAACAAAAAACATATTAAGCATGGAAGAATGAAACCCAGAATAGGATGGCTGGATTCTTTATCCAGTTCTTTGACTTAAAAGTTAAAATAGACTATCTCCCTCCTTGCTTCAGGTAATTTATGCAAGCTGGTGGAGTTGATTCTGCAAACCTTTTGATTTTTTTTTTTTTTGGATACAATAAAATCTACATATCATCCCAGGGATAAAAACAGAAGGAAACAACTAATACAGAGACATGGATCACAGCAACTCCCTGCCCATTTGTTTCTTTTTTCTTAGTCCCCATTCCATTTCAGATGCCTTTGCCAATCATCTTTTCTTACTGCTCCCTTTGTCTCTTTCTCCCACTCACAGGTACATGCCTACCATTACCCTGATTCCCTAGTCTGCAAAAAACAGTTTTGCAGCTGAGCACACCGAGCACACTGTCTTTACTGTTCCAGGCTGACAACTTAAAGCGATCACTTCTCCTTTAAAAAGCTCCTAAATACTCTCTCTGCTGAACATGGGTCTGATGTTTTACACTGCCATTTAAACTTCCGCTAAAAAGACTCATCATTGATAAAAAAATTTCAAAAAGGGTTGACAGACTCTTACCTGAACTTGCAGAGTTGTGTCTGCCTCCGCTGTGAAGCTTACAACCTTCTGCGGCTGAATATTGCTGCTGAAATCCTTCCATTTCTTTGTTTTCATTGTTCTTGTTACTTATTACACTGACCATTGTAGACCCAGCCTGATTATTCAGAGAGCTACTGCTTGACCTGGCAGTTCCCAAGAGATGCTGTTCCTCTTGTTCAGAGTTACTGGAGTTCTGTGATTCTGTATTTCTTATTTTTTTGTCACACTGCTTCTCTGTAGGGGAAAAAGGCTGGAACATTTGCAGAAAAATGCAGAACCTTAGTGTTGTTTTTTTTTTTTTTTTTTTTTAAAAACTGGTCAGCACTTAGGTATCTACAGAAACTACTTTAATAATCTCCATTTGCATAGTGATAACTGTAAATAATATTCATACTAGCTCATCAGGCATTCAACAAAATGAATCTGTCTCTTGAAGGCACCTACAGCACTTCACTTATTATCTAAGGAATGCGGCTCTGAAGTGTGGTCTTCTGAATCACACCTAACTTACATGGCTAAAATAGCCTGAAATAATGTGGGGATGGGTCAGTCAGGACAGGTGCATCTTAGGCACTAACTTGGGGACCAAACCAGCCCCTCCTCACTACAGTTTTACCTTTCTGCTGTGCAATTTTCTTATACTGGTAACTAGTTGAGATGACATGATTTCTAGCTAACTATTAGTTAAAGAAATGGAGCAGATGAAAAGGAATGAATGAGTCATACTCACCAAATCTGTTTTTCTAGTCGGTGGAGAACATGAAAGTGCTGCAAGTGAGGAAAGAGGGTTCATTAGCATCAAAATTTGTTTAAGTTGCAAAAGCTTCACCTTAACTAGCCTGAGTGATGCCCTCTGCTGCTAGAATAAACTCCAAATGTACGTTTAGTTTTATTTCCTCTGTGATCTATGGATGAAGCCAAATTGTTAGTGCATGCTGTTTGAAAATGTTGTAAATTTTTGTATTGCACTAGTTTTGTAAAGTGCATTGAATTTGGCCAGTGAACAAAGGATTCCCTGTGTGAATTAAACAATCATTTTTCTCCAGTATTGTGTCAATGAAAAAAGGTACCAGTAACAATGACATATGTCCATGACAGCTAAATGATAGTAATAACATCTGGTAATGTCTAATGCCTAAATGATGAAGCACGAAATATTTAACCAGCTACAGTAGGAGATTGCTGCACAGTTGTCCAACTCCACTGGGACATTGCATGCTTAGACAACTGTCTACAATCTAAGGAAGAAGAGATTTGAATAGGGCACCTTCCTTGTATCCCCGTATTGATATGAATTTCACCCCATGTGATCTAATAAAGATACTTTTAATATAAATGCATATGGAATATTCTAGAGTATTTTTTTTTAATTCTGATTTTATGTGGCTGCAAAGTTTATGTGAACATGGTGCTTTGCATGAGTTTTTGATTAGTCTCTCTTTCCCCTATTGATCTTTGAACCCTTTGGCCAATTTCACCCAAATGTAACACAGGAACGAGGTCAAAAGTTCCTCTGAACTTTCCTGAAGCTAGGTTACCAGCCAGTGAAGCAGAACATGCAAATAAAGGTCTTTCCCTTGCAAAAAAAAAAAAAGTGAACTCACACATCAAAGAACCTACACCTTAGAGCGCCTGCATCCATATCCAGCCATGAGAAAAACTTCAAAGCTAGCACCTTCTAAGACACTAAAGTCAGTCAACCGCTAGGCTCAAATTAACAGGAAACCAGGTGTCACTACTTCTTACAGAACTGTTTATTTCACTGCGTGAGTCTTACCTTTTTTTTTGGAGACTAAGCAATATCCCAAAACAGCAATTATCAAGACCAATAACAATAGCCCTGTTACTGATCCTGAAAATAATAATAAAAAAGGTAAGTTATTTAGCAGGTCCATCTGAAAAAGGAGAGAATTCGAAAGAAGTAGTTTCATAGTTTCTGTCTATGACTACAAAAGCTAAATTTACAAGTAGCCGCTGCGTCTGACATTCACATTTGATGTCTTGGGTTACTGGGTACCAAGGTCGCATTTCAGTCTCCTCCACTTCATAAAATTGAATTTTCCTGTGCTGAAAAGTAAGGACAGATTTCTGGCCTCAGTCACAAAAGGAATCTCACTAGGCTAGCAACAGTACATTAAGTATAAGGCCAGGCAACCCAAAATGCTCCTAAACGCGTATGCCTGCAGGATAGGCTGTAAACAGGAAAGAATATGTCCACACTTATCAATGCTATAAGGATTTCCTGTCCTGGGAAAGACTGCCAGAAGTCTCCAAAGGCCACTTTCCAGGAAGATCATTAAGTCAAGTTCGCCTCAACCTAGAATGTAAGATGCAAGCCGTTTCTACCAGCTCCCCCTTCGCAGCAGCAATTCTTAGGAAATGCAGTGCATAATCTAGTTCTGCGCTTTTTAGAAATATTGCCAGAATTGTGAGGACTGTAAAATGCACTGAGGTAAGGCAAATACATAGGTAAATAATACGCAACCCAGTACAAGCAGCATCATATTGAATGAACTCAGCAGTTCTGAAGTTCTATTTGGGTACAAGTAATTGGTCTCTGAGAGGAACTGAGAACTAAATATAATCTTGCTTCCTAGCTAGACAAAAATTGACTTTGAATGAATGAATAAGTCACCAATGATGTGAGACATATCAGGCGCAGCGCTTAGAATGACAGGTCGAGTTAATATTTCAGCTCTGTTGGAAGTCGAACTTTGGGTCAGCACAGGTTTCACAACAGTATGAGGTAGAGCTGTGGCAAGTGTTATTCCCGAGTCACTGCAAACAGTGTCATTCACGCTGTTTCCTGGAATAGCCACCGATTTACAACTACAAGAAACAAAGAGAGAGGTTAGAAAAGAAACCAACCCTAGGCACAGTTAAAGGTTGCTATTAGACAGAAACGCTGGCTTACACTTTATGCGGTATACAGCTGGTATTATAAGATTCCTCATCTGAGAAAGTGCCAGGAGGACAAGGTTTACATTCTGTATCTGTGCTGTCTGTTCCTATAAAAAAAAGTAGAAAAACTCCAGTTAGTCATCTAGTGAGAACCAGGAATGAATGATCGATTTCTGTAGTACAGATCCTAGAAGCGAGTACACAAAAGGCAGACGCCGACTGTCACAGAAATGATTAATATGAAACATACCACCCAAACACAAATCTGAAGATTCATCAGCTGTTATTTTTGTGCCCTTAATAGTCAGTCTTTTCCAAAGACTGTTAAAACCTACAAAAAAGTTAAAATGTTGCACTACAGACAAGCTGAGCCTTTTCTCTAGTCTCTGATAGGCTGACCCCCTATTCAATTCTGCTGCAGTTTTGGCTCTTTTCAAGTGTGCCTTAATGGCTTACAATTAGTAGGCAATCCACCTCTCTGAAAATTGTTTATCATTTTGAGACAACTACACTGTCAGAGTGGTAAATTTCATCATCTAATAGAGAAATTAACTCCTCTGCAGGACAGCACAGAGTCATTGTTGCTTACTATATCCTAAATTCAACCTGAAGCCCTGCTTTAAGGGTTTAAGCAGGCATTAAGTGGTCATGAATCTGAGTCACTTGTATGAAAGAAATCACACAGCGCAGCAAAAGAAAGGAAAATTAAGTTGGATCAGGGAACTGAATGATACACGGTAATACAAGATTGAGACATTTTGTCCCTTTCAATATGCCTCTTGAGAACGTTGTTGCTCTATTTACTGCCTACTTGCTAAAAATAATGGTTGCATTAGAAAGAATACATAACTGCAGGGCATTAAAATACATTATTCCTGTAATTTACTGAGTTCAAGGCAAATTAGGAAATATTTATGGACTATTAAGGTAAAAATAATTCTCTTCATACAGTAAAGCTATTTCGTGTGTAGATTCTGAGTGTTCAGAATTAAATTACCTCTTTTGGAAACTCTGTAACCTTTTCCACACTTTTTATGCACTCTACATATTTTGCAGTACTGGTATATTTTTGAAATGCAATACTCATTGGGTGGGCAGCTACAGATTCTGTCCTGTGACTTCGTGCACGTTTGAACCTGCACAAAACCTGTTTTTAAAACAAGAAAAAGGCAAATGCCATTAGCAACAATTAAAACCACTGTCCAGTGTTTCAAGTGACTGTGAGGTGATGTTCATATACCAAAAACTGAGGACAATTTTGCAGCTTCTGACTAATGTACCATCATAAAAAAAAAAAGTTACATGCCCAACATCTGTATTTTCAGAAGATCTGCCTCTCCTTTAGAGGTGAAATTTGCATTTGGAGAATTCACACTTGGAACTCTGTACCTACAGTTGTATTATGACCATAAATATACATATTTGTGTTATCTATGCTCATCGCTGCCGTATCTGGAGGCCATACTAAGGGTTGTAGTCTATGCAGATCATGCAACTACATTTAAAGTAACTGGAAACCTTATTATGGACATTTTCAGCCTCTGTTGATCAATTTTGTAAGATTATGTTTAGATCAGAGGTCCTTCAAATGACTTTGGTTTGGATCCTTAACACTCATTTGCTAATGAGTCAAATAGTTTTCTATACCACTTTCCATTAGAAACAATAGGGAACAGCATGACTGAATTTGTTAATTCACATTGTCTATTAGACCAACATACAGACATTACCATCTCCTTCGTGTGCTGTTAAGATCCCTATAGTGAACTGAACCAGCATCATTTCACTGACTATGTCACTTAGCAAATGCAATAAAAATAATATGGGAGTATCACAACTGGTGTTTGCCTTTGGCAGCCCAGCATACAGACCAAGGAATGACTGGATGCTAGAAATTGTCCACTTACCCATGTGAAAGTCAGGTATTAGCTCCATTGGCTGGACAGTATAGGCAGGAAGTGACTCTACTAAGGATGTTTGCACCTACTTCAGGGATAGAATGCCTCAGTTTCCAAGCATACAAGACTGTTGTCAAATTTTTAGGACGTAAAAAGAAAGGAGGGGGCCAAAGAGCTACAAGATTTTTCCCTGGTTTTTTTTTTTTTTTCCAAAATCTTATCAGTACCATAAACATCAGAATGGAAAATGTTCATTGGGAACATACAAGTTGCAGATTCAAACTCTTGAAGATTTTCCTTAGGAGAAAAGACCAGATTAAACCACGTCAGCTCTTGGAGCAGGCTGTTAAAGGCACAAAAGTCCCTTTAATAATTCAGGCCTACCTTTCCTGCAAGGTGGTAAGCAGGCAAAGCACTGAGGAGACCAATTCCAGATCGCTGTATATGAGTTAGGTTCACAGGGACTGCATTGCGTGTCCACGCTGTCAGTGCAGCTCTCTAACTTATATTGACCTATAAAAAACAGTGAAAGCATCTCATCACTAGGAATCACTAGGAATTAAGGTAAGTTTCATTCTTAGCTGTATAAAGCTTTTCCTGTGACTGCCACCATCAGACTGGTAGCACACACCAAGCAGGCACTCATCTAAACGGGGACTGCATGTATACACAGAGAAATTCTGACCTCTTCTTTGTCGTTCACGTTTGACACCTTTTCCTACGTTCAAGTCAGTGACTTCCAGCCAACTTCAAAGTAAAAAGGCATCAAACCTGAGAAAAAGTCCTCAGCATGTGCTTACATGCAGTTACCATAGTATGTAAAAAAAAGTTTTTCTACCCTCATAGAAAATATGTTTTGTGGTGAAACACACAGGATGGTGTTTCATGCTGAAAGTCAGGCACGTGCTAGAATGATGTATCTGGGGGAGGCCCTTACTACCTTAACAACAGCAAGTGAAGAAGGCATAATAAATATCATTCTCACAAACAGACCTGAATTAAAACTTCACCACTTGTCACTACTGAAGGGACTTAAGCTCTAACTCTTTACAGATGCTTACTCTTTTTCCTTCACCTAAAATTTGTTAGAGCAATGGCAAAGCCAGAAAAGAATCCTACAATGACTGTCCCCTGACTGTCCTGAACTACTACAGGAGTGAAAAGGGACCCAGTGAACAATCTCAGAGGAGGCTCTGGGATTTGAAGGAATAATGAGGAACATTTTTTTTAATGCCTCTTTCATCATTTGCACTGCCCTGCTCCTTATGTCTCTGCAATGATCTTTGAAACTGAACATCTTCAGTGAGTCCTAGCAGATCAAAGCAATGAGTTTCTGAAGCTATTGGCACTCTAAATGAAATCAAAAGCTGTCAAAGACAGTTTCTCCAGGGATACACAGTGAGGTGAACACTCAAGGTTTTGGCAGGTGGTTACTAGGAAAACCACAGCTACTCTTTCCACCAACTCTTCTCACCAGACCGAGTGTGGTAGTAGGAACGAGTAAACGGTGTAACAGTGGGAATGAGTAAACATAAGCTCCAACATATCCTTTTTGGAGAAAGGGAAACACCTTAACTCAGTCTTTCCCTCCTTGCTTGAAAGGAGGAAGAAGATAAAAGTCAATATCTCACATCCTATAAGGAAATAACCTGGAATACATAATCAGAAGGCAGGAGGCATCACTGAGATAGCCTTTGGAGCTGTTTGGAGAACTTCTGTTCTCCAAAAAAAGAAGGGCCGGAGGTGAGCCATGGAAACTATTGCCAAAGACTTTGTTTTTGAGTACACGTACTTCAAATTGAAAATACTGCCTCCCACATCCTGCTAATGATTTCGGCTCCAAATTTTTGCTAAATTATGGTAAAAACATTTCAATTGATAATAACATAATTAAATATGTTAGGTTTCCTACAAACAGTTGTCCAGAGTTTGTTATTCTGAAAAATTAAAAATTAGGGGACAGGTTCATATTACAGACTGACCACTATTTACTGGAATAGACAGAGGTTTCAGCTATGAATCATCATCTTTGCTTCCACCGTGTTTTTAACAAAGGAAGTTTGACAGGTCTATCTAGACATTTTTCGTTAATTCAAGCAACTGTTGCTGCTTCAGCATATACTGGTTTCCTGCTTAAACTTCCGGATCACTCTGACAGGAACTTAGCATTTATGGAGACAAATTTTGTTTGCTCAGCATGTCATGAGACAAATATGCATCTTTTTGCTGTGTCTAATGTCATCATATAATGACAGCTTGTTGCAAAAACTCTATTACTAAAATATTAGAATGTCACTACTACCAAAAAAAAAACCCTCAACACCCCCATCTGTCTGCACTCAGTAGCTGTTTGCTAGCAAAAGATCGCTAATAATTATCACTGGAGTGTAAGACATGACACCTCAAATGAGAAAAACAGTTTCAGTACTCATGTTTCTCTGTACTACCTCTGATAGTGGTCTGCAGTGGCTGCTTTACAGTAAAGACAAAAAACTTCCTTAATGAGCAATTATAGACTAACCTGCCCAGTGGAAAACCCCCTTATATAGGTGATATTATCAAAGTACAGAAATTAAGCTCTACCTCATACCCTGTTTTACAATGTTATTACAGGGCTTTGGTCTGGTATTTGTTGTTTCAGTTTTGCAATTTCATTAGTTATCTGTTGCTTGCTTTTTTTTTTTTTTTAAATACAGATGTACAATTAAAAATTACTTCGATCAAGAAATCATCCAAAGCTGAGCTTATAAGAGCTCAGCAGCCTAGGTCATCCTCCTGATAAGCCTCAACTAGGTTAACCCGGCAACAAAACTCCAGCTTTGGTGAACAGTGTGTCTCTCTTGCAGATATTTTTACAGTCACAGCATTTTATGTTCTTCTAGCTAAGAGCGCATTAAAATTGCAAAACTCTGATGTTCTTCACATGTGTCGATAATCAAAACACACAGTGTTCATCTGAAAATTGATTGAATTTGGCCATGTAAAGTCATAGTGTAAGTTATAAGTTACCTGGAGGGCACTGACTGCAACATTTATTAAGTCTTTCTTCATAGAATTCCCTGCTGGGGTCCTTGCACTGTGCAAACTGTGGTGTATAAGGTAATGAATATTCCTAGGAGAAATTAAAGGAAAAAACCATGAACCACAAGTCCATCCATCCTGACCCTCACGTAGACATTCAAAAGAGACAAACATTTAAAGATCAGCGCAATTATAATCATCTTCCTTTCCAAGACACTGATGCAGGCCTGACCAAATAGAAAGAAACAGAGGCCAAAAAAGCGTAAGGAGAGCGCACAGGTTAAAGCTACCTTTTTTGGCACATTTTTTCATCACAATAAAGACAGATTATAAATTCAAGGTCTTTAAAAGCTGTCATAATTAATGCATGTCTCATTCACAGTTCAACATACCAGACTTGCTTGAGTTCAACAAGGCTTTGACATCATTCAAAGGTTCCTCTGTTTCTGAAGATCTATCTTCAATTTGTCACAGTGCCCAAAGTGATTCTCCAGGTTTAATAGCCAGAAGAGTACAGTGGAATCATGGGATTAGCATCACAGCTGGCCACCAGTGAATCTGCTAAACCAAAGGGCTAAGTACCCTTTCTCAGTCGGTGTGATTCAAATGGCCTTTGGCAAAACAGCAGACTGAAACCTACGTTCTTACCTTCAGGTTTGCAGAGAGAGGTGTTTTCTGCAAAGTGGCTATGTGAAAAATGATACCTTTTTACTTAGCAGGTCTGCTCCGTATACACATTTAGAGCCACATTTAGAAAAAGAAGGGATCGACTTTGCTACTTGTTGTTTTCCTCAGGCCTCCTGAGCCAGCAGCAAAGGGAGCTGTGGGTCTAGCACAACTGCAACACTTGAGAGGGTACTTCTGTTTTCTTCTGTAGGCCCAAGGACACTGGACACTAAAGTTCAATTCTCTGTTGTGTTTATGTTCATTACACCCCCACTTACACCCATGCAATCTACAGGCAAGACAATCTCTTCAGTCAAAGAATCTGTAACAGTATTAAAACTGTTTTCAACAAAGGAGAGAAAGAAAGGCTTTTATCATTCCAAATATTTTCCAATTCCTTTCTGAACCAGAGAAGCCTTGATGTTTTGAAAAAAAGTGATGTCCTTCAAAACAGCACTGCCTCTTCCGAAAAGGAGCAATTGTGTAGTCTTAAAGAAGTGCATATGAAATAGTCATAAAATACACTGTACCTACTGTTCAGCTCATATAAATTAGCACGGGTCAATGACTTCAAAGAACAAATGTCAAAATATTTGAGGACCGGACATCTGTTGTCAAAGGGGAAAAACGTACTCAGTGTGAATAAAAGAAAAAGGCTATTAGGTAGTATAAGTGTAGGAGTTTCCTTCTAGGATGCTGTTCAAAAACTATGTGACACTGCTCAACTCCCTGCAGTATGAAGAGATTGTTCCATGTATAGTCTATACACATTAAAAGAAGCACTTTCCAAATATAATTAAAAAGAGAAATCAAAACAGGAACAAGCTCTTTGGAGGCCGGTAATGAAAATATCCTTCCCCCTTACTGAAAAACCATGTTGATTATCTATTGTGTCTCCACATTACTGACAAAGTAGATTAACACTTCCCACTCTCAACAATTACTTAAAGGGAATCCAATATTTTCTTACGGAGCTTGTTGAAAGAGTTTACTTCTTATCTAGCTGTACATCAGAAGCAGGGTTTGACACATCTACTCAGTGGTCATTGCTAAAAAGAACCTTTTCCTAGAATGTGAAGTCAGAGAAGGGCCTTCTTGGATTTGAGTATTTGCTCAAGAAAAGAAAAAAGGAAGGCAAACTATTTAGGTAAAAGTTTCACAGCTCCTATTTAAGACACCGAAAGTTGGTGACACTGACCAGAATCGGGACGATTCTGATCTCCTCTGATCAGTCGGTTGAGCTGAAGACTCAAAACTAGAGAGACTGGGGTAGGGTTTCACCAGTACCCACCCTATTCTCTCACAGACAGATCAACGATAAACAGTCAAGTCACAAATGGAAGAACAGAAGAGTAAAGACCCTTTTAACTGCCTAGAAACTGCAATGGGGCGGGGAAGAATGACAAGAAACCATTCACCTCAAACACCAGAACAGGTTGCCTCTCTTCAGAGGCTGACACAGAAAGTGTTCATCCCAAGCAGAAAACAGGGACTGTACCCTAACGTAGCAATCCACCACTTGCTTCCTAAAATCTTCAACTGCTTAGCAAGGTATTGCCTTCATCCCTTAGAGCTTCTGACAGGCAGGTGAAATCAGACCCAGTTGCTGAGCACAAACTGAGTTTTCCAAGTTCTGCTCTTTGTCTTTTCATGAGAGCAAAGCCAGTTTTACAGGAGCCATGCTGCAGTCACAACTGTCTCCAAAAACTCCTTTGGCCTCCACTTTTGCTTTGCGGTAAAAGAGCTTACTTAAAGGTGGCTTGCTCGAGGATTGAAGACTTTGAAGCAGAACCAGGAGGTTAGCTTCAATATTATCAGTTTCATCATTATCAAGGAGAATAATAACCATAATAATTCAAAAAGGAAAATAAGGTTTTCCAAAACCTTCTAGGTTCACTGACAACTGCTAATGTTGGACTTGGTACTGTACCCTCCCAGGAAGGGCAACAAGTAATGGAGAAACCACACTATTGGCAAACGCGAGCTGACACGAAAATCTGATGAAGAAGGGGAAAAGGGCTCTGCTCTCATAAGAAGTACTTTAAGTTCTTTTCTTGTTTATTAAAAGAAGAAAAATCAAGTGCTATAGCTGCATTTTTGCAGTCACAATGATAAACTGCATTAAAACGAACACTTGAGCGTATTTTTAATCCGAAAAAGTCACTGCAAGCGCTCACAGAAAAAGAGAGAAATACAACAAACCACATCACAAATTATCCTGCTGGTGAGGCTTCCCGGCAAGAAACGTTCTTACCTCATCCTCTGCCTCATCTGTTGTAAATACTGTTCTGAGAGTTAAAGGCACAGGAAAACCTTTGGTCTATGGGTTCACATCTGTTTCTCTCAAGTTGTGCTTGAAAGGATATATCTTCTGCCTGATACAATCTTCCTGAGAGTTTATCTGATGAGCTGTGGCTCTTGATGACATACAATTGCCAATTTCTTGCCAACTATCCTTAAAGAACATTATGGGAAATTAAAAATAACTTGTAATCGCGTAGATACAATTTATACATGCATATGAGCTTAGCTTTGTTCCCACTGGAAGGATATCACTAATTTTAGTAGTTACTTTCAAAGTAAATTCATTTAATCAGGCTACTGTCAAGGCCAACAGCCAGATCTCCTGCTCAGAGCAAATTAGGGCAAACGTAGGCCTCTTACATGATATAAAACTCTCCTGGCCTCCTTGGCTATAAGACAACTCCACTTTTTCTAGCCATCTCAGCAATTTTAGGGTCTGGGTTGGGCAGTGCAATATTTGTTGCCCAAATCAGAAGTCTCTGACATCCAGATCTATTGGCTACTTTGGGCTGAAAGACTGACAAGGAGCAGGGGACCAGAATCTAACCCATAATCTTTATGTTTTATTACTGCTTGTACGTCTCATATGTCCTTTTTTGTCTTCTGCTTTTAATGTGACTCTCTGTTCTGCAAGTAGATTGTGATAAGAAAAATAACCTTCTATTTAAAGGGATCCCTAATTATGGAAAAAACTCTGAATTTAAAAACTATGTAAATATGAAACCCTTTCATGGTCTGATGTGACTCATCTGAAAACAATCAAAAATAAAACCTGTTCTCAGGTTAAGTTCTCAGTTACAAACGTGGTAACAATAACCCAGAGAAACATTTCTGAGGAAGAAAACACTGAGAACCTTGTATTGTATCTTTTGTGCTAGCCTTACAATTTCCCAGATTAGGTAGCAGTGTCTAACGACAGCAAACTTTTGAAGAAACTTGTACAGACAACATGAATTTGGAAGACTTCATTTAATCTGACAGATGCCAGTAGAAGCAAAATGCCTACTCCATCTAGCGAGAGAGGCATGGGCATTATTAAACAACAAATTTAGTCTACCTCTATACACACCGATCAAATTAGGCAACGTATGTGGGCACTTGGTTCTTGTGCTGGGATATCAGCACAAGAAACATGAGTAGCCTCTGTTTGCTCAAATTAGAAATGAGTAAACTCTGCGCTCATCCTTGACTACACTCACTAGTAAATATTTTTGCAATGCCCGTGTATTAAGCAATAATGGAGAAGTTACGTACAAGAAGTCAGTGACTCAAGATTCCCTCCCCAGAGTCCCTGCATGGTTTGCATCTTTTCTCGTCTGCCCTACAGACATCCAGTAGATAGGTGACCTTATTTGTTCCTGGAGAGGAGTAGGCCAGCAGCAGCCGCCATCCAGCTGAGAGGTTAGTACAGACCCTTCCAAGCATGTGTGCACAAGCACAACTGTTGCTAAGATTCCTCATATCCTATCATCTCCACTGGGAGAGAAAACTAGCAGAGTACATGCCAGTATCCCATGATTTTCAGGCTGCAGCTGTATCTGCGCTGTGTGTGCCAGCGCTAGTGGAGGGAAAGGGCTTACAGGCTGTCCCCTCCCACGCAGTCATGTGGAGGCCAACCACAACTGAGACCCTAATGTCTGTACCGGAGCTGAGCCCATGTTATAAAGTTCAAATCCAGATTCGGATACACACTTCTTCAAAATCAGAAAGACCTGAGCCAATGCACTAGCCTGACTCTATCTATTGGGGAAGAAGGCCAGGGTCAGAAGGCCAGGCCTTAACTTCTACAGCACTGTGACGATGTAAGGCATTCCCTGTGTGCTGAGTATTAGCGAGAATAAAGAAAATTTCCTTCAATTCCTGCCTTACAGTTTTTCCTTATGTCCTCGGAGTTCATGTTTAATTAAATTTAAGTATCTTCAGTACTAGAAATAAGACATGCTAACAGTATATACATATTGATCCATTTATCTAACATTCAGTTTTACTCAAGGAGGTCATTTAAAAGAAAGATGCAAACACACACTTCAATCCTAACTCGCATTTCTACACATTTATTGGTTTCCATTTCTTACAGTTGCTTTCTTCAAATGCAAACCGTCAAACAAAGGAGTCTGAACAGGAACTACATCTGGCATATAACGTTCTCTACGCATATGAAACCACAATGAAGTCACCAAAGACTCTGACTCTCCATTTTTCTATGGAAAAGACTTGTGGTAGAGAGATGCCATTGGCTGAGCAACAAGTCCAAGACAGAAAAACACAGAATTCTATTTAAACTATCTAAACTGGTCCTTTAGAGAACAAATTCTGTTTAGGATTAAATTTGTCTCAGATAATAGCAACTGAAATCAATGGAAGTTTTATCAGGGTATCAGGCAGTACCAATTCTACTCAAAGCGTAAAGTTTCATTCAGAATTGCTCGCCTGCAAATACTGCTCTAAGATTATATGTCCCTCATGTGAATTGTTCTCCCATCCTATATCCTAATTTACTTCTGTAAAGACACAACAATACCTCAGGTCTGTTTAAGGCATTTTGCAGAAGTAAATGTTGTTGTAGAAGGAAGAGTCCTGCATAGCCACAGATAAGCAGATTTACAATTCCACCTTCCCTCTCCCCTGAGAAAACAAAATATTTTTCCTTACTGTTAAAGATCATCTACTTCATTGGCACTCACCATCACAATATGAGCACATTCATTTTCCCTGAAAGGGATGGCATTAGTCTCTATAGAATATGCAACCTATTCACAATATGCAAAAATAATAGAAGCAAGGCAAAAGTTGTAGGGAGTAACAATATCTTATTACATACATGTATATATTTGGAAAAACATACACATTTCCAAGGATAAGAGCTCTTCTGTTTCGAAATTTCAGGCTTATGTATCCAAAAGCTGGTCTGTTTTCCCAAGTGTTGCTCTAATAAAAGACATTATCTACTAAATCAAGATGTGACACTTAGAGTAACAGGGACTGTTGAAACTGATGTGCCTGAAAATCTACAGCTTCCCTGTAGAAAGTGAAGGTACTCACACAAACAAGGGAGGAAAGCAAGAGGAACAACAGATTGCAGGCCTGGGTGGCAGAAAGGCAGGTCACATCCTCATCACCCATCAGGGAAGGGCAGCTGGTGAGCAAGTTCCCAAGGAAGGATCAGCAAGCCAGGATTGGCCCCATTAAGTCTGAGCTTAAATGGAGACATCCTGGAAGACGCACCTAACAGAGACAGGCCGATTCCTAATATTGACAGCAGAGCAGGAACGGAGAAGATACGTAAGCCCTAAGTGTAAAGGTGACAGATGAAACCATGTAAAGACGACCAACAGCCTCAGGGTGAGAAAGAGAAGACATAATTTTGTTTTATAAAATACAAGGAACACATCCACAAAGGCTTTCTTACAATATGATATTTTGGAAAATTTTGAAATCGTTATTTCTATGCTGTTGAGGGGATCTACATTTTAAATTACGTGTCCTTTGCCTTCCTTTGTGTGAGCATTTATACTTAACTGGAGCTCAGCACAGTTTATACCTGGCAATCCTGTCAAGGGTTTCAGTGTGTAAACCCAACCATTTCTGGCCTCATTCCTCTCTTATATCCTATAATGCTAGAGTCCTTCTGCATTACATCCACATGTTAAATCAATAAGGAAGACAAAGTGAATAATACCAGAAAACCTGAGCCAAAACTCAAACTAAAACACTTGTCTTCTTTGGGGACACTGGGACCTGGATTGGACAGATTATCTGCTGCTGTGTCTTAAAGAGACCAGGCCAAAAGCTGGCACAGAAGAGCTCAGACCTTAGGGACAAATCAAACTCAGCAGTGCAAGCCTATTTCTAGGGGTCAAGGGGCTGTGACCTGCCTAATGACCTTCCTAAGATGCCCAGGGTACCAGTCAAAAAACTCTGCCAGAGGAGATAAGTGTCTTTTAGGCCAAATGCTGGAAAAGGCATTTTGCTATTATTTTGAAACAGGTCTCTGCACAGAGCAGCAACTACACTGCACAGCACTTTGTACAGCTTTACAAAGGACAGATATATAGGCTTCAGGCTACCAAGAAAGTTTCTATTAAAAGTACCTGGTGACTGAGTTGTTCAAAGTGGCAAAAATTATGTTCAGTTCCTGTGAGTAACACACAGGCTAGACTCTTTCAGATAATTTAGGCTGAATGAGAAAAACAAGAGAAAGTGTGTCACTCTAGAACTATTGCCTTCCTGGATTCTCTCCCTCAGCAAAACCAAACTAAGTTTTCTTTAACTAGTCACTTCTTAAAATTGGTAGAACAGGTGAATTTTTTCCAGCTCTGCCACAGATGCAGTGTTTCTGAAGCTACTGTTTTTGGTTTTCTAAGTTATAAATGGACTTTTCTCTGGTGCAGCAAAAGCCTGAGGACAATGTGAAAAGTGATGCTGAAATTTTCCTCCACGTTTCCTACCATTATAGAATCACGCTTAGGGTGTGAGAAGAGTTAATTCCTTCTGAATCACGCAGCTCTTTATTGAAATTGACAGCCAGGAGCATGAGGGAACTTTACCATTACATGTTGGTGATAGGGTCTTCTACAGAGTCTTCTGAGACTCTCCCTTCCTTACCTGCTCCATCCCATCCAGTCATCCAGTCCAAGGTATTCAGGGAATCAGGTTCAAAATACTGTCGCTTTAGCAGACCAGGGCTGAATTCAAAATGGGTGAGATGCAGCTGAAAATATTAATCTAACCTATTATCAACCAATTATAGCACCCAGTCCACCTTAAACAGATCACCGATTTCCAGGTTCAATATACATTCTGACATCCTGCTCATATTCTTCCATATCAAGGCTAAATAAATATGATTAAGTAAATATGCAAATAACATGCGCATCCTATAAAAAAGCAAAGACCTGGGCATCTCAGAACCATTTATATGTCTATCTTCACGATCCAATACACTTTAAAAACAGATGGAAAAATGCTATCAATACACTACCACAGCATAAACCCAGTCAAAATCAAAGAGATCCCATCAAGCTCTTTGGTTTAAACAGTTAAAAACATTCACTGCCAAATAGAAATAGAGCTGGCTATAAAACGGAACAGAGGCAGCTGGATCACATCAGGTCTTAGATGTAAATTAGAGGGCTTTTCTAGATAGACAGGGAATGGCTTGAAACGATCCTCTAAAAGCACAACAAGCTCTTCCTGTTTAAACAACGGAGTAAAACACACGCGGGTTTGCACTCTGCGCTGGCTAGCACACTCGTTGCCTTTGCAAACCGGACTGAAAAGTCCAAGCCCCTTTCTAATGTAGATCCGGGAAAGATGCTTTAGCCGCTGCTTCGGGAAGCCAAGAAAACGTAGCCCAAAGGGGAGCAGGACGAGCGAAGGTTGGAAAGGGGGAGAGGGGGATGCGAGCTGCGACCCCGCACTCACCCGGCTGCTCCCGGCGCCGCCGGCCTGGAGGAGGGCGGCGAGGAGCG